CTATTAAATATTCTGTCAGAATGAGAAATCAAGAACAGTACATGCATCTGGTTTTGTCGGTCTTATGGGCGATATTTAACTTTTATTTATTGCTTCGAATTTTTTTCATTTAAAAAAATCAGTTAATCCTCGAAAAAGAGAAAATATTCATGTAGCAATTTTGCTAACATATACCATAAACAAACCCTAAACCTAAGTTTGGTCACTTGTGCAGGTTCTATGCATTTGAATTTCGCGTTCATAGAAATAGTGAAAATTACACAAATCAGAAACGGAATTTTAGTTTCACTGTGATTTTATTTTTTTACAACAATTAATCACCCAATATCCTTAAAAGTCTCTACAAATAATCTTTGGTATGTTTGGTAAATTTAATGTCAATATTTGAGTCAATAGCATGTGTAACCACCTCCCTTCCGGTACAGTTCCATAACACGGCGTCTCATACTCTGTACACACATTATGCACTTTAGTTAAGCAAATTTATTACATTCATCAACAATTGCCCTCTTAAATCGCCAAGATTTTGCAAAGGTGGATCTCTGCGATTGAGATTTCTGCCAATGGCATCCCATACATGTTCGATTTGTTTCATGTCTGGAGACATGGAAGGCCAAAATATAGTGTCAATGGCTTCTTGCTCTTTGTACTCGGTAATAATCGTTACCCTGTGTGGTCTAGCGATGTCGTCCATGTACAAGGGTCTTGACAAAAGTGGGGGATTATTAAAATGAGGGACTACAATGTTTCGAAGCACCAAATCCCTTTATGTCTGTCTGTTCATGTTACTCTGCAACATATGCATACCCAGCTTACAACAGTATGAGAAGCAACCCCATACTGTAACACAACCAGCATCGAATGCAGTCGTTGTGCAAATGTTGTTGTGGTCATAGGCTATTTTATTTCCACGCCAAACTCGTATTCTGCCGTCTATTGGTCGTTACAGAACCCGAATCTCATCTGACCAATGAACATTTTGCCAGCTTCTCCTGTTCCAGCGTCGATGGTCATTAGCCTTTTGAAACCTGATTATATGGTGCCTGGCTGTTAGGGAAGGTGTCTTGACAACACGACGTGCTCTTTGGTACCCTCTACTAAGTCGACGGACCAATGTTCGAACACTAGCACGACCACCTAGAGGCCAGTGGTGTCTAAGCTGTAGGACAGGAGTAAATGGGTTGGCTTTAGTACGACCAATAAGCAATATGTCATCACAATAGTTAGTTAAACGGGGTCTTCCGGACCTTGGTCTATCATTTACAGTTCCTGTGTCAACATGACGTTGTAAAAATTTGACAATGACGGTGTGGTTAACATTGAAATGGTCACCTATGCTCCTAATGCTCCTAACGCCATTTGACATGTCAATTGCTTGTCAACGTTCAGTCACAGATAACTTACGCCTTGCCATATTTCACAGTGACTTGGTAAAGGGCAAATTTCACCTGTACGCTTGAAAGTAGGAAGATGATTTAAAGGCATCGAAACAGTGTTTTTGTAATAGTGCAGATGACCTTTAATAAAAGTTGCTTGACGGGTTTATTGGATTTTTTTTTTTGTCGCAATGAATTTTCTTAGTGTATGTTATAAGCAATTTGTAAAACCAAACATAAATATTTTTTTTGCAATAGTTAAAAAAATATTGCCAGTTATATTTAGGTGGTGCTTAACTTTTGGCGGACTGTATATATAAAGTTTGAGACTGAACATTTCGGCCACTTCCGTTTTAGTCAAAAACCATCTTAACAGTGACGTTTGATTGCATATTTGATAGATTTTTCATATTTAAACTTGAATTTGAGCATTTGTAATGACCTAACCAATTTAAATCTTTAACACAAACTGATTGAATCAAATGAAGTTCACCTTTAAGTGTTTAAAAATGTGAAACATTTTAGCCAAAATTAGCCCTAACCGGACTTCTTCTTAAACCAGACTTGGCGACAATCATCATTAGAGTTTGCACTTTAAAAAATGTGTCCCATTTTGGCTAACATGGTTGAAATTGAATATGGGGGCAAAATGCAAGTTATGATTGTCTATCATCATCAAAACTGTTATAAATAGAGAAAAATTTGACAAGAGCTTTAATATTCCGAGTGATGGGATCTTCCTAAATAATAATGGTCTATTTACATCAAAACTGTTTGACAACTTCTTACTGGTGTTTCTGCCCTTAAACGATGAATTTTAACATTTTGTTTTTTGTTTTTACCAATTATCTCGAAAACAATAATAGATAAAGAGAAACATTTTATATAGGAAAAATGGTCAGCAACACCAGGTCTACAAAATATTGACTTGGTTGAAATCGTCAGCTGATTTTTTTATTGGAGTTATTGCGCCTTTATGACGTTTTTTTTTTTTTGCATTTTTGCCTTATATCAAAAATATCATAATAGAAAGAAAGAACTTTAAACTTACAGATATTAATATTCCAGGGTACCTTGTTTGTGAAAGCTGTAGCAATTAGGTAATTGCAACAGCTTAAGACCAATACATAAATTATCATAAAATCATTCTTTGATATAATTCATTTTCATTTAATCTTCAAGATAGAGAGAAGAGAAAAGAAAAACACAGGAGAAAAAAAAAGAATGATATGTTTTGGTTGCAATTTGCCCAGTAATTTCAGACAGACGACAGGAGATGAAAAACTCAATTTGCCCAGATGGCTAGGCTCGCAAAATAAAAATAAATGTTTTAAAATCGTCTTTAAAAGTCTATAAACCTTTTTGTAACTGTTTTATCTAAAAAAAATTATGAAGTAAAATAATTGCGAAATTTGTAACTCAAATATTCAATTCCTCTCCTTGTCTGATTTTCTTCCACGTGAGCCATCGTAGATCAGCAGAATATAGGGACTGAGTTATTTGGGTTACGAAATTTGCTTAAAGCTGACATTTAATGTTGTCCAACTGTTCTGGAAATTTTATGATTGATCAATACCAACTGACCATAATATTCCTTTCTTGTTCTTACTACTTTATATAAACATGTCTATATGCCTGGAACAAACAGCATTAATTTTGTATTTCAAGACAGAACAGGGGACAAAGTGGCTGGTGATTAACTGAAATTCACATGAGTAAAATCATGTTTGTGAATTATTTAAGAAACACAATTACTGTTCTTAAAAGGAATTCGAAAGTCTAATTGGAAGAAATAATTACAAGTTTAGTTTCAAAATTTCGGAATTCACATTATTTGTACCTTAGACAACAATACAATGATGGTTGCTAGGCATTTTATATTTATACGAAAATGGCTGCTAAAGTCTATGTTGACAATATTGACCCCTTATCTTTCAATTAGGATCTATATTATAGTTTATATTAATCCGAACCCAACTATGTATGGTTGCTAAGTACTTTTATATCAAGTAAGTTGCTAAGAATGTATGACATGACCTTAACCTCTAGCTTTTGCTTTATTACCAAATAAAAGCAATGATCATTTTGAAGACTTTATATATATACTGTTTGGGTTGATTTGTTACAATTTCTTAACAAAAATGAACAAATCGAATAAAAAAGACTGAAGGTCAAAGGTCAAGGTCATCAATTTCCTTTGACCTTTGGGTCAACCTTAAGGTTTTTGAATGCACAACATATCTCAAGTGATTTTCATCCTTTATCTGTCACTGTTTTTGAGCAATTCTAATAACAATGTCAAAATTCTTTTACAAAATAACAAAAATGATATTTTTATGTTTCCATAGCAACCACCCTAACAACCAATTTCCCAAACCTTTGATTATAAATTATTCCTGGGCAACAGTGATAGTTTGCATATATTACTTACATATAATTGGTTGAGGATGCAAAAGTGTGAAATTATGTCATTCAAAATGCCTACAATTTGACTTTTTGAATACATTGAAAACTCCATTATTTAAATCAGTGATACCCCCTTTTCCCCTTTTAACCAGAATTAGTTTTCATCTTTCATCTAATCATTAAGGGTTAATTTTCAATTAACAAAAGTCAAAATATTCATCAAAATTGAAATATGTGCATGATAACTGCTTAAAATTGGTCATTTTTGTTCGTTAAAATATGCATTTTCGAGGTAAAAAATAAAGGGGACCCGTTACCATGGCAACGGGGACATAAAAAAAAATATGTCAATATATTTTTTGTTTGTTTATCGATAGCTACCAACAAACAAAATTTCAAGAAAATCTGAGACTATGCGTGCCGCATCTTGGTTGGTGGTTACAGAGAATTGCTATTAAATATTCTGTCAGAATGAGAAATCAAGAACAGTACATGCATCTGGTTTTGTCGGTCTTATGGGCGATATTTAACTTTTAAATTGCGTTTTTAACGAGCGTGCACTAGTATTAGTTAACTCAAGATCGAGTACAAATACATTTTTCAATTACTTAGTGAATACGTAAAACTTGACATCCTTTTAATGTTCAGACAGATTTTGAAAATCTTGGCTTCAAGTGTTAATCTTGAATCCAGACCTAACGCACCATATATTTTGTTCAGTGGTCAGAAGTAAATGTCTTAAAAGGTAGCCTATGCAATTGGTTAATGGGTGTTTTGTAAAAAAAAAACCACCAATGAAATAAAATGCACACATATAGCATCAGAAGTTTATCGTGTAGTGTTTAAAAACCGAACTATTTTTTTTAACTCAAAAGCAGAACGCTAATATATAAAAAGTCCAATCTACAACCATTTTCAAAAAAACCTGTTCAAAAAATATAAACTCCGGAGTCAAAAGTCGGTAATATATATATATGAAAATAGTCTATTAAAACCTACCAAAATGAATAGCATAGTTTTTTAAAGTATTTAAAAATGTATGATACATAAAGAAATGTGCATAAGGATTTGTTTCGTTTAGCTCCGATATGATTATTTTAGAAGATTTTATTAAAATCGACAACCTTCTGTTCACACGAATCTTCCGGCATTAAATAAAACTGAAAAAATAATAAAGATTATTGAGATGTTGACCTTTATCATTAGTGAAAGACGAAATAATGTTCACTTTTATTAATAGTATATAAAAAATCAACAAAATTAGCAATGTTTAATTCTAAGTTTTAATAAAAAGTACCGGCAAATGTAATAATTATATTCATTAAAATTGTAGATGACACAAACTTGTAATTGAGAAAAAAACAGAAACAAAAAAACAAACAAACAAATTAAAAAACAATTCAACAAATGAAAACAAATTCTTGACAAATACCATCGGTTAAGGATTTGATGTCCCTATTTCGACAGTTGATTCAGTTTTTATATCGATTTGTTTTCCCTTTTCTTCCGTAGGAATCCTTGTGAGTTTTCAAGGGAGGTTTGCTTTTTTCAACACTCTTAACTAAATTCGGCAATGCTGGCCCCTGCGCTGACATCATCTTTATCAAGATATCAATCTTGTCTTCCAGTGTATTAAATCGTTTGGAGTTGTCTTTCTTCCCGCCCTCCATCTTATTTTCTATCTCCTTGAAGCGTTCTAGTTGTTCTTTGTTCCACTGATCCATGATCCGTTTTTGTTCGTTATTGATCCGTGATAGGTTCTGTCTACTAGCTTGTAGGTAGTTCTGGAGTTTCCCTACCTGCAACATAACGCAAATACATGTTTTAATAAATAAATTTATTGATTATTGTTTTCTTTACTTTCCAGCGTCATATAAGGGAAAGAACATTGTCAAATTAAAAATCAGTTTATCAGGTAGGTTTTGCAATGTATGTCGACCGGGATGAAGGCTGCCACTAAAAATTAAAAAAAATGTTTTCCAAAACCTTTTATCAACATTTTGTGATTTTTGTAATCTTTAATAAAAATTTAACGGTAAATACAGACGACGACGGACGACAAGCGATTGCAATAGCACACATAATCCTTCTGGTACTTAACACATCTTCTTGATGTGATCTACATAAATGCCAAATATAAATATAGAGGCTCCAACAAGCCTGAATCATTCACCATTTCAATAGGTCCCATTAGACTTGATTATGAAATAAAGTTCTATTATGTGCAGACATATAGCGTAACTAACTTTAATATTAATTAAGCTTGATTAAATTCAGTGTTTATCATTCTCAAAAATTGAATATGTTTACGATAGGGTTTTGATACAAACTTTGCCCTCACTGGCGGCCATTTTTAACTTCGGATCAGCTCAAAACGTAAAAACTCTTTTTAAGGACCTGGATACTATTTACACATTGTATATTTATACTAAGTTTAAGCTCAGTCATTTCAGCGATCTTGAGAAGCAGATTTTGAACATTGATTTTTTCAAAGTTCCTTGGCGGTCATGTGTTTTAACCAATGTGTAACTAAGTAATAACACTTGAATAGGACCTTATAGTACACACGTATATCAAGTTTGATTCAATTCTGATAAGTAGTTCTTAAAATAAAGATGAAAATGTTGTTTCCCATAGTGTTTCGATGCTCACAAAGTAGCAATGTTAAGGTTGTTGTTATAGATGATATAGATGATATAGATGATATGTCGTAATTACGATATAGCGATGTCGTTATTTCCACATAATACGTCGTTATTACGACATAGCGATGTCGTTATTTCCACATAATACGTCGTTATTACGACATAGCGATGTCGTTATTTCCACATAATATGTCGTTATTACGACATAGCGATGTCGTTATTACGACATACTATGTCGTAATTACGACATAATTTTTATTTTGAATGACCCTTTTCGGCTTCCGTACCAATTTGGCTAAAAAGAGAAAAAAAATCCGTAAATCCTGTAAAAGTGCAGTGTGTGTAGCGCTCTCTCTACAAGAGGTATCATATCACTCTCGGATTAAATGGTCTCATCCAGACCATCCGTGGTTGTGTATTTATACATCCCACACATGTTCAGTCTTGTGGTTGTGTATTTATACACCCCACACATGTCTATGTTTTCTATGTTGTGATTTGTATACTGTTTTTTATCTTTTGGTCGTTATTCGTTTTTTGCTATGGAGTTGTCAGTTTGTTTTCGATTTATGAGTTTGGATGACCCATTGATATCTTTCGCCTCGCTTCATAAACGGATGATCCCACATCGTGGGTTATACTATTGAAAAGGAGACGTCCAGTTCATCAATATGAATATCCAAGTCAACATTGTACCTTTAAAATTAACATTCACATTTTACATGTCCAACGAGGTCCACAACTGATAGTCATTTTGTGGTTATTTTAACAACATAGTATTACATCGTCGCTGGGCTTCCAAAATGACGTATATAGATATAAGAAGATGTGGTATGAGTGCCAATGAGACAACTCTCCATCCAAGTCAAAATTTATAAAAGTAAACCATTATAGGTCAGTACGGTATATAACTTTTTTTGTTGTTGCTAAAACCACCTTTTCACACAAACTGGCTTGGCGGAAGGAAATCTCTGATTTCCCAAAATATCATAGATTTAGACCAATCTAAACATTTGAAATAAGACATGTGAAAAAAATTGCTTCCAAAATGTTGTATGTAAACTTGAAAATTGTCGTATAATGACTTTGGGAATCCAAAACTTGTACCTTTTTTATTTCTGTGAAAACAAGGTTAGTTTTTGTGTTATCCAGTAGTTTCCAAGTTTTTATTTCACAGCCATTTACAAAAATATTCAACTAATCGATGATTAAACTTGTCTCTTGAAAATGCAAAACATATTGTACTCGAAATTTTCTTTTAATTGTTAGAGCGAAATATTCTACCATTTTGCCTCGTTTATTACAATATGAATCAATCCTCGGTACTTATTTTTGTTTATTTTTAAATGGTTGGAAAACCTATTATTTTAAAGTTATTTTAAATCTCAACTGAATAAATTTCATAGTAATCAACCGGATGGTATATATATATATAACGATTGATAACAATGGCGAAAACCAAAGAATAAATGGTGCGGTGTCATGTAAAATGTTCATTTAATTTACATTACATTTTACATCAAACGTTAAATCATCCAGATTCTGTAAGGCGAAAAAGTAAATTGCCATCATTACCAGTTGAATACAAAAATACGCTTTCATTTAATCGAGGACAACCATAACGTGGGTCTACGCATGTAAAAGTTATATCAGTATGTGGCGGTGTAAAATTGGTTGTACTTTGTCTTATATCTATTGAATTGGTCAGTGGATTAAATACGTGTTTTAGTTTGAGTATCCTATCATTGTTCTTGCTGTTCTCGTCCTGCTAATTCAAGGTTAACCCTATGTTTGGTGTTTGTACTTTCCTTAGTTTTTACTTAGTTAGTATATACCTGATTTCTTAGTATCATGATTGTTTTTACTTAGTATATACCTGATTTCTTAGTATCATGATTCTTTTTACTTAGTATATACCTGATTTCTTAGTATCATGATTCTTATTACTTAGTATATACCTGATTTCTTAGTATCATGATTCTTTTTACTTAGTATATACCTGATTTCTTAGTATAATGATTCTTATTACTTAGTATATACCTGATTTCTTAGTATCATGATTCTTTTTACTTAGTATATACCTGATTTCTTCGTATCATGATTCTTTTTACTTAGTATATACCTGATTTCTTCATATCATGATTCTTTTTACTTAGTATATACCTGATTTCTTAGTATCGTGTTTCTTTTTACTTAGTATATACCTGATTTCTTCGTATCGTGATTCTTTTTACTTGGTATATACCTGATTTCTTCGTATCGTGATTCTTTTTACTTAGTATATACCTGATTTCTTAGTATCATGATTCTTATTACTTAGTATATACCTGATTTCTTAGTATCATGATTCTTTTTACTTAGTATATACCTGATTTCTTCGTATCATGATTGTTTTTACTTAGTATATACCTGATTTCTTCGTATCATGATTGTTTGGTATATACCTGATTTCTTCGTATCATGATTGTTTTTACTTAGTATATACCTGATTTCTTAGTATCATGATTCTTTTTACTTAGTATATACCTGATTTCTTCGTATCATGATTCTTTTTACTTAGTATATACCTGATTTCTTCGTATCATGATTGTTTTTACTTGGTATATACCTGATTTCTTAGTATCATGATTGTTTTTACTTAGTATATACCTGATTTCTTAGTATCATGATTGTTTTTACTTAGTATATACCTGATTTCTTAGTATCATGATTGTTTTTACTTAGTATATACCTGATTTCTTAGTATCATGATTGTTTTTACTTAGTATATACCTGATTTCTTAGTATCATGATTCTTATTACTTAGTATATACCTGGTTTCTTAGTATCATGTTTCTTTTTACTTAGTATATACCTGGTTTCTTAGTATCATGATTGTTTTTACTTAGTATATACCTGATTTCTTAGTATCATGATTCTTTTTACTTAGTATATACCTGATTTCTAAGTATCATGATTCTTTTTACTTAGTATATACCTGATTTCTTAGTATCATGATTCTTTTTACTAAGTATATACCTGATTTCTTAGTATCACGATTCTTTTTACTTAGTATATAACTGATTTCTTAGTCACATGATTCTTTTTACTTAGTATATACCTGATTTCTTAGTCACATGATTCTTTTTACTTAGTATATACCTGATTTCTTAGTATCACGATTTTTTTTACTTAGTATATACCTGATTTCTTAGTATCATGATTCTTTTTACTTAGTATATACCTTATTTCTAAGTATCATGATTGTTTTTACTTAGTATATACCTGATTTCTTCGTATCACGATTCTTTTTACTTAGTATATACCTGATTTCTTAGTATCATGATTGTTTTTACTTAGTATATACCTGATTTCTAAGTATCATGATTGTTTTTACTTAGTATATACCTGATTTCTTAGTATCATGTTTCTTTTTACTTAGTATATACCTGATTTCTTAGTATCATGTTTCTTTTTACTTAGTATATACCTGATTTCTTAGTAACATGATTCTTTTTACTTAGTATAATATACCTGATTTCTAAGTATCATGATTCTAGTATCTTTTTCACTGTTTTCGTCCTTTTGTTTCTTCACTTGTTTCTCTACAATGTCGAGCTGACTTCTGTAGTAATTTAAATCCTTTTGTATGTTGTTAACTGTTTCTTCTTTTTCATCTAACGCTAACTGCAGGTCACGTACCTGAAAGACACGTTCAATTTGTAACTTAATGATTATGTGAATCGACATAAACATAACATAGTTATGTAGCTTACGAATGAAAATGTTTGGTTAAATGTCGTAAGGTTACAATCTCACTTACGTATACCCAACTAGCCTAGTATCTTAGCTCATTGTTCAACAGTCGCGAAGAGGAGGATGGGCCAGGATGCCAGGCTAATACCCCACATATCGTTTTTTTTTCTTGATTCTTCAAAAAAAGCCATATACTATTGTAAATAACGCAGCATTAAATGAATGTTTGAAGTCACGTGGTAACTATTTTTATAGCAGAACAATACACCAGTCTGTAGAATATGCATTGACTATCAAAAGGTTGAATACTCTTACTAGACGGACCTTTTAAAACCAAAGATGTAAACGGAAATATACAGGAATGTGGGTGCATTATTTGTTAATTCGGGATCTACATAGGGGATATGGCTTCGTGTTTCCTGTTAGTGTTTTATATTCTCTAATCCCATATCCCCTAGGTATGAGGTAATGGGGATATATGCTCGGAGAATATAAAACATGCAATAAAATGTCATTTTTAATCGAGATATTTCATTCTTGTGTATATTCATTTATTCTAAATTAAAACCGAAAGCGCCTCCGCAAAGACGTATTCGATCCGATAGGTCATAACTTGTTTCTTCAGTTTCTCTACCGGGTCCATATACACTTATTTCTGGCCATTTTGTTTCTTAAAACTGACAATATTTGACATCAAACATGTGACACAATGAATAATGTATTTTCAATACCTTTCTCATCAGCTCCCTAGTATTAGCGCCAGTATTCATCCTGCGGAAAATGTCACCTTCCGAAGCATCGAGACTGTTCTCCGACAACCCCTTCCTGTTCTCCTCAAGGTCGATCTGTAGTTTATGGATCTCTTTGTTCAAGCATTCTATTTTGTGTTCCCTGACGGTAAGTTCTGACTGGAGCTGTTTGTAATTAGTTGTCATGTCTGACAGCTTGACTTTATACATCTGTTTTTCTTTATAAAGGTGCAGGATTTCATCTTCTCGGAAGTCACCAGACTAAAATAAAGATTATTACAATGTTTTGTGCAATTTATTAGAACGCACCTGCCTGAAACTATTTAATTAAAAACAATTGTTGTTTCGGATTATAAAACTTCTATATTTATGGTCAAAAAGCTGTAATGACTCAGTTACAAAAAAGTCGACAATTGACGGTCTACAAGACCAAAACAAAACAAATAAGGGCGACAATGGCACAAAATTTGCACACAAATTTATATAAATGTAAAAAAACTAGCTCAGCTAACAATTTACTCTCCGTGATACATTAATTTGTAACTAAAATACATAATTGCTTTATTCAGAAAAAGGCTATTAGACTGAATGTTTCGGATTATACAGATCTGTATATAAAATATTTGAAACACATATATAGATTATGTTCAGTGGTTGTCGTTTGTTGGTGTGGTTCATATGTGTTTCTCGTTTATCGTTTTTTATAAGTCATTTTGGGGCCCTTTATGGCTTGCTGTTCGGTGTGAGCCAAGGCTCCGTGTTGAAGGCCGTACTTTGACCTATAATTGTTAACTTTTTATACATTGCGACTTGGATGGAGAGTTGTCTCGAGCATTGGCACTCATACCACATCTTCTTATTTCCATTATATTAGAAAATTACGCTCTGGCTGAGCTGCATAGTATTAATGCTTTGTGAGAAATAGACATAATTTATGTGACATTATGTCTTTTATTTACGTTATTTATTGTTACTCAAAGTTGTGTGTTTGGTCGCTTTTCACGAAGAATCTTATCTTGTTTTGTAATATTAATTTAACTCACCGTGCTATCACTGAACGAAGTCTCTTCTCGTGAGAGGACAGACATAGCTGTGTCATCTGTAATATGAAATACATGATCTTAAGAAGGATTTTTTAATATCAAACATTTCTCAGAAGATATTGTTATCTCTAATTTCATACTTTATACAAAACTTTTAAATAATTTGGAATTTTGATGTTTTAAAACTTTTATCAAAATTCCAAAAATCTAAAATTTGAAAACTTTTTAAAACTTTGAATTGATAAGTGTTACACGGACCTACATGCATTGCAAATTATGTCTTTATTCAAAAACAACAAACAATAATAATAACATCAATGTTAAAATAACCCCTCTCATTTGTATGTTTGAGTCTTCTTCAGTATTTAATAGGACTCAAATAATCTCATTTCATATGTGTATTTATGTACATTGACTCTCTTGTAGTATTATTTCATATCGTTAAAAATATAGTTTTTCTAGATGTTGAAAGTTGTAATTTTCATTGACGTATGATCCGAGGACAGTTATCGTCCTTTAAAATATAGTCCCTAGTATGGACAGTGTATAACTCGCAATTTTTTTTCATACACTTTCCAAATTTATTTCTTTATATGCTATGCATGAAATATTTTAGTAGGGTGATGAAATTACATGTTAAAAATATTGGGTGATGAATTTTTAGGTTACTAAAAGTTGTGATTTATATAAATGTAAAAAAAAAAACTAGCTCCGCTTACAATTTACTCTCCGACAATACATTAATTTGTAACTAATTTGTAATTAATCCGTTGTCCAGTTAAAAATAGGTAAAAAATTAGTATGTCTGAAGCTGTCAAAATGAATTATAGACCCCCTTAACATAGAATTGTCCATATTTTGAGTTAGAGCTATAGACTTTTTTTTATAATTTTGATATAATTTATCACAAAGGTAGTACACTACACTGTAAACATCTTTTTGAGGTAGAGCAGGTGCGATTTATTTAATTTGAATTTATTGTTTAAGAGAAATGCATTACGAAATAATTGTGTTCTCGAGCCGTGGGTCTTGCTTTCCGCGAACTTTGCCCCTCTCCCACACGCATATACACATGTAATGAATGATTGCTGCCTTATAAATGTATACTTTTGTTCTTACCGGATGAATCTGTCTGTAGTATTTGATCTGCAATACGTTCATTTCCCGTGGCATTCAACGATTCTACAAAAGAGGTAAAAGCTGTGCCTCCAACAGTGATCAGTTTCTCAAGTAAGATATTGATTTGTGTTTCCTTTGACGATGCTGATAGAATGTTTGTCTTGTCCACAAGTGTTAGGACGTCATCCTCCATCAATTTGTCTACAACCTTAGACAAGCGGACGAGATTATGTTCGATAAATTCACAATTTTTTGTTATTTTCTTGGACAGACATGGATCCATTTTGAATAAAAAGTTTCACTTCGACTCCAACTTGTGTGAAACTACGTTCTACACCAATTAAAATCTGAACTAATTATTTAAATGTAGAAAAAAAGTATTTGCGCACTTAAGACTTTTTTTTCTTCTCAAATTTGGCAAAACTCCTCTTTCATTAGATAGATAACAATAAACAGTTTGAAATTATTAATAAAGGAACCATGCAGTGTTGTCCTGTTTTGTAAAAAACAAAGTGACACATTACTGTATTTATCTTATATCATATTTCCCTACATTGTTTTGTCCTCAAATGTAATTATAATTTTTAAATATACATTAGTTGAGTCATTTGTTTTCAAACTTGTCATAATAATTTTGAATTTTTCTTTTTGAATACAGTTATAAGTACTGAAAAGGTTTGAGATGGACAGATAAGAAAGAAAAAGAAAAGTTAATTAGATTTGTACACGAACATTAATTTTTACTACTTATTTTTGGTGGCGGGCATTATGTATAACATTACGGTTTACATATTGTTTTAAAGTGTAAACTAACATTTGTAACTGCAGGGTGTTCAACAGAAAACCATAACAATAAATAGAAATATAGAGAGATATGTCAGTATTTTATAAACCTTGAATACAACTGTTTTTTTTTTTTTGGAAAATTGTGAATACAGTGCATTACTTTTTATATAAAAATAAGGAGATGTGGTATGATTGCCAATGAGACAACTATCCACCGAAGTAAAAATAAGGAGATGTGGTATGATTGCCAATGAGACAACTATCCACCGAAGTTCAAATGAAGTGGATGTAAGCAATTACAGGCAACCGTGCGGCCTTCCACAATGAGAAAAAATCCATACCGTATTGTCAGCTATAAAAGGCCCCGAAATGAAAAATATAAAACAATTCAATTGAAAAAACTAACGGCCTTATTTATAACAAAACAATTAACGGAAAACAAATAAAACAGGCATGAACAAACGACAACCACTGAACTACAGGCTCCTGCCTTTGGACAGGCACTTAAAAAATGTGGCAGAGTTAAACATTTTTGTGAGCGCTCAACCCTCCCCCTAACATGGGACAGTGGTGTAACAGCACAACATAAGAACAAACTATAAAAATCAGTTGAAAAGGGCTTAACTCATCAGATCGATACAAAGCAGAAAAACTTCACTTTTTACCTGTCTCTTTATGAAAACTGGAGCGGATGTTTCATTTTTTATTGGTTACTTCACGAATTTCATAAATACTTATTTTACCAGTCGTATTGCAGTATTTAGTTTTATTCCTTCCTGTGTGTGATTTTTGTATTGCTATTTTTTGGCGATAACTGAGGGTCACTCTTACAACAAATCAATACTTATATCTGGATGTAAAAGTAGAGAGTAAATACTTTTTTGGCCAGAAAATATAGGGACACGTGTTGTGCCATTTGAATTCGACAGCCAAAATGTATTATGAATCTATCAAATCAAAACTTATAGATAAAGTGGTAAAAAATTCTTAAATCATTTGCATATATACAAATACTTCAATCTGATTGGTCGTTATAACTACAGTATTTCCTTAGAGTCCTTTTTCTATCTTGTTATTAATGTTTTGATTTGTATTTCTTGACCAAACATGATACATTTTGCAAGTGCTCAATATACCTTACGTTTCGGGAGATTCCGAAGATTGCTTTACTTTTGTATGTGTGTGTTTGTGACTGTTAAAACTCATCAGACTGTCATACATATCTAGGACATCGTTAACGCAAGGTTGATCACAGCATTTCCTGTAAAGTGGGTCGTCCGTGTGCACGTGGTTGTATCGGAAGTATAAATTCGCTGCCACGTCCGCTCAGAAAGGAAACGTTTAAATCAGATGCATTGTGTAGAGAGAGAGTGACGCGCTCTGTGGACTTTAAGAACCCTCGCAATAACTCTTCGAAGGATCCGCAGGTGACCTTTTGCAAGGCTAATTATCTGTCCCTATCCAATATACCCTCAATTTCCATTGTCATTCCGAATTTTACGCGCTTCATTCCAGTCGACCTCCTATTACAGGACCTACCTATTATGTTAATTGCCATTTGTTTTCGTTCAAAACATCCATGAAATATTTGCCAGTGGACATAAAACAAACAACAATAAAATCACATTATCAGGAACATATATTCAGTATCTCGTTACCTGTTATTACCCCCTTAGTCTGGACTTTCGAAAGTTGAATTATGCATCTATTGATTCGCCTTACACCAAGTAGAAGTCGGGTCGGTTCGAATTTTTCCAGTATCATTCCTGGAGTTTTGTTGGTTGTTATTTCATCAAAAGAAAACGATAAATCTAATGCTGTGCACAGGATTGATTTGTTTTTATTATTATTTTCACGTGACTGTAAAATATGGAAATGCAGAATTGCTACTAGGGTTGAATCAACAAATCCAAAATTTCGTCTCATTACCAAACCCAACATTGACATCGACCATAGGTGTAATACCACCATTGTTTTCCCCTATTAGTCTTTGTTAAATTTGCACTTTCTAAAAATTGTGTAGAATTTATCTTTGTTTCAAATAAAGAGATACTTGGCACGAGTCAAGTTTAATCCTGTCCAGTACTACAGACAAAATTTCAAATTGCATTGCATAAAAGATAATAACCATCACTGGAAGTTTAATAACCAATCAAGTTTCCACCCCTTTCTTTCCTGCTTACAAGCTTTAGTAACCATGTAACCTCAAGTTTCCAAAATATTTTATAGAAACACCAAATAAAAAAAGAATGGTGCTTTAAAACACCCAAGATATATGTTTATGACTCAGAAATTTTTTACTGCAATGAAATGTAGGATTAATTACCTACAACTGTCAAATTGATTTGGTGGTATTACACCTAGACACATTAAACATTTATCATCATCAACATGAAACATAATTATTTGGAGTGAACCAAACATATACTACCTACTACCAAAACAAAACAATACCAGAAAAATAAACAATGGTGATATATAACTAGACTTTAATTGTTTAAATCAAATAAATAAACACAATTCTGCAAGAATTAAAACATAGCAAAAAGACACATTAGAAGAAAAAAAACCCAATCAAACCAACAAATTTACGCTCAAAATAACACGAAACAACATTTTTGTACGTTTAACAAATGAATCATTTGTGTATGAAATCTTCCTTATTGCATGCTTGATATAAATATCGAGCAAGTTATATGCAAAATACCTATATGGGGGAAGAAATATCGTCACCTGTTATTATCATCCGTTTGACAGTAAAGACTATTTGGCTGTATTAGATCTGGTATTGTGTTAGATTAGGTCTCTGGTATGACAATCACACCAACGATTTTTTATATAGAGATGTATAAATAAGTAATTAGACTTATCACCGGGTTTGTACTAACATGAGCAATTTGACGGGTGAACGATGTGGAGCAGGATTTGCTTACCCTTCCCGAGCACCTGAGATCACCCCTAGTTTTTGGTGGGGTTCGTGTTGCTCAGTCTTTGGTTTTCTATGTTGTGTTTTGTGTACTGTTGTTTGTCTGTTTGTCTTTGTCTTTTTCTTTTTTAGCCATGGCGTTGTCAGTTTATTTTCGACTCGTGAGTTTGAATGTCCCTTTGGTATCCTTTGCCTCTCTTTTAGCAACATTATGTCAGATTGGGGACTTTATTTTAATTTGATTCCGCGTCTTGAGAAAGTATCATGCTTTTATTTGTAGACTTCAAATATAAAAATAAGATGGATATGATTGCCAATGAGACAAGTCTCCACAAGAGACCAAATGACACAGAAATTAACAACTATAGTTCACCGTACGGCCTTCAACAATGAGAAAAACCCATACCGTATAGTAAGTTATTGGTAAAAAAAAAACAATTAAATTGTGTTTACAGTTTTTAAACCACAATAAACTCTATTCACGATTTAATTAATTCATTATATGGAAGGCATTGTATAAAACGACCTAATTATAATCGTTTATACGTATACAATTTAATTTTGAAATTCTGATTGGCTGAAAGTTTTTTGTCTATCAGCTCATAGACATAATTTTGTCATGTGATCGTGACGTCATCAACGTTTTTATGATCTACTCCTTAATAAAAATGGTATTTAGCATTAAATTATAAGGAATGACTGTAATATTTTTTTTTGTCTATTCGAAATGACCTCAAAAATGTGGTGCACACTTTTAAATAATCCGCTAAGCGCGTTATTCAGTGTACACCACTTTTTTGATGTTATTTCTTCATAGACAGAAAAAATATTAAAGTCTTTCCTTACTTGAACCACTTAAAACTTTTGATAACAAGAGTACATCCGAAATTAAAACTCATCAAATAAACCAGGCATATAATTTGGTACGACAGACTCGCGTTTGTTTGATATCATACAACCAAGTTATTATAGTTTGTACTTTTGAAACCACAATAAAACATTATTAACATGTGTACATGAGGGTCTGGATGAGTTTTACAGAATAAAAGTTAATGGGTAAAAAGTGCAGAATAAAACGTAAAAAAAAGAGAAAAAACAAGAATAGATAATGATGGGTTGCTAAAATATTTCGAATAGAGAATAATGAGCAAAAGAGGTAAAGAATAAAGAAAAATTAAATGAAAATTTAAAAAATTTAAAAAATAAAGAAATGAGGGACCACCTCCCCCCTCTTCCCCATCCAGACCCTCGTACATGGAGTGCATCGTATCTAACGACCAAACTTTTTATTGAACTTATTTTGTTTTTGTTGTCTCGGAACATTTCTGTTCATTGTTATAAGTTTGATGATATACTCCATCTTATCGTCAATTTGATCAAATCTTTCATCATGACGTTTCTGGTTTTTATCCAGTTCTGCGCGCAGTTCTGCCGAAATCTTCTCTCTTTCTTGACGCCCAGCTTGAAGATGCACCTGTAATTTCCCAACATTATTACGTAGAGTCATAATATTATTATCCTTTTGTGCAATGCTTGCCTTAAGTTCTTCGATTTGGTCTTCTAATGTCTCAATCAAATTGTTATAGTGTGTCGCCTCTTCAGTCAGTGTTTCTATGCTGATAGTCTGCTCTTCCATTCGGAGAAGTAACTCTTCGGAATCAATATGACACCCTACATCTTTCGGAACCTCGTCCAGTGGACCATCAACGGCATCAATTCCAACATCTCTCCGGTCTACCAATAACTTCGGTTTAGGCTCAACTTTTTTGTCCTTGTCTTTGTTTCGCTTTTTAAGTTCGTCTTTAATATTTGACGCTCTTTTTTCAACTGCTGCTAACTGACACCGTAGCGAATCGATTTCCTCGTTTAATATTTTTATATCCTCCGATTTGGTTTTGTTATCTGTTTTTATCTTCCTGTACTTATTAGAAAGTTCATTGTACTTCATTTTGACCATTTCTCTCTCTTTGATTAACTGAATTATTTCTTCCTTCCGGTCATCAAACTACAATATAAATACAACTATTACTATTATTACAAGTATTCAAATATTGGATTAGGACACAGCAATCATGCTCATAGTGATTTGTGTCCAAATAAAATGAAACATACACGAATACACGCGCATGCTTAGAACTTTTTCACAACATCGGCATAATGCGTAGGAATGTTTAAAATTGAAAGCTTTTTTTTACTTTTAAAATCCTGGTTGTAGCATCAAATGCGATTTGGAACTATACGATATGTAATCAAGTCGTTTATACTAAGGACGTTATTTGTATGAAGACACCAGTTTATAATTGTTAAAGACACATGTGATATATACCTTACTGTAAAGTAGGTACCTTTCTATTGTTAAAGACACATGTGATATATACCTTACTGTGAAGTAGGTACCTTTCTATTGTTAAAGACACATGTGATATATACCTTACTGTGAAGTAGGTACCTTTCTATTGTTAAAGACACATGTGATATATACCTTACTGTGAAGTAGGTACCTTTCTATTGTTAAAGACACATGTGATATATACCTTACTGTGAAGTAGGTACCTTTCTATTGTTAAAGACACATGTGATATATACCTTACTGTGAAGTAGGTACCTTTCTATTGTTAAAGACACATGTGATATATACCTTACTGTGAAGTAGGTACCTTTCTATTGTTAAAGACACATGTGATATATACCTTACTGTAAAGTAGGTACCTTTCTCTTGTTAGAGACACATGTGATATATACCTTACTGTAAAGTAGGTACCTTTCTCTTGTTAGAGACACATGTGATATATACCTTACTGTGAAGTAGGTACCTTTCTATTGTTAAAGACACATGTGATATATACCTTACTGTAGAACCTGATGATCAGTATACCTTACTGTAGAACCTGATGTTCAGTGGTTGTCGTTTGTTGATGTGGTTCATAAGTGTTTCTCGTTTCTCGTTTTTTTATATAGATTAGACCGTTGGTTTTCCTGTTTGAATGGTTTTACACTAGTAATTTTTGGGGCCCTTTATAGCTTGCTGTTTGGTGTGAGCCAAGGCTCCGTGTTGAAGGCCGTACTTTGACCAATAATGGTTTACTTTTACAAATTTTGACTTGGATGGAGAGTTGTCTCATTGGCACTCATACCACATCTTCTTATATCTACTTACTGTAAAGTAGTTACCTTTCTACTGTTAGAGACTGTGTGTTGTCATTAACATGTCTTTATAAAAATAGGGAGATGTGGTATGATTGCCATTTAGACAACTATCCACCAAAGTTCAAATAAAGTGGATGTAAGCAATTATGGGTAATTGCACGGCCTTCAGCAATGAGAAAACCCATACCGTAAAGTCGGCTATGAAAGGCCCCGAGACGAAAAGTATTAAACAATTCAAATGAAAAAAACTAACGGTATAATTTATAACAAATCAATTTATATATAAAAAACAAACACGAACCAACGACAAACGCTGAACTACATGCACCTGACTTGGGACAGTCACATATATTATGAGAGGTTAAAGATGTTTGAAGGCGCCGACCTTCTGAACCAACGATAAAAATCAGTTAAAAAACGGCTTAACTCATCAGATGGATACAAAGCAGAAAAACATCTCACAAAAGCACAGACTAGACGTGGCAGGGTATTTATACATCCATCACAACAAAAAAAGACACTAAGTTCAGATCTGAGAGTACTCGCAGTTACTGACAGCTAGTTCAAATCCAATCACAACTAATAAAAAAATTTAAGAATAAATGTATCTAAAACTAAAATGTCAATCAATACACTTCCGTCATCTAATAAGGTTAGTGTAAAGACGTCATTAACAGTCGAAGAAAAACATAACCTTGTGCATTGTCCAAAATATAGGTATCGACATATTGTTTTACCGTGAATGTGCATATGTGTTTAACAATTTGCTCGCTTTATTGTCTGACAGTGCTCCAGACCTGACTAAATGACACAATTTGCTCGCTTTATTGTCTGACAGTGCTCCAGACCGGACTAAATGACACAATTTGCTCGCTTTATTGTCTGACAGTGCTCCAGACCTGACTAAATGACACAATTTGCTCGCTTTATTGTCTGACCGTGCTCCAGACCTGACTAAATGACACAATTTGCTCGCTTTATTGTCTGACCGTGCTCCAGGCCTGACTAAATGACACAATTTGCTCGCTTTATTGTCTGACCGTGCTCCAGGCCTGACTAAATGACACAATTTGCTCGCTTTATTGTCTGACCGTGCTCCAGACCTGACTAAATGACACAATTTGCTCGCTTTATTGTCTGACAGTGCTCCTGGCCTGACTAAATGACACAATTTGCTCGCTTTATTGTCTGACAGTGCTCCAGACCTGACTAAATGACACATACGTGAACTATACACCTTATCGCTATTTGTCCGCCATTGCTGTACATCACAAAAGTTCCCGTAAAATTTTGACGTCATAATAGAAAATATCTGACGCCACAATGGAAAAGTGATTGTTGTATGACGTCAAAAGTTCAAGCGGGACAGATTCTCGGGTCAAGCGGGAATAGCAATAAGGTGTATTATGCATATCCTTCAAAGCAATTCTGCGTTTAATCATTCACAAGTACTTGTTAATTTACTTACCACAAAGAATGTGTCCGCTTTCTGTAATTGGTTTTTATCTTAAACATAAGAAATGAAAATGTCGGCAACTATAAGAATATTTTAAATGTAAATGTAAACTATAATTGGAGATATTTTTAAACAATAACAAACTTTGTGATTTAGTTAACAACGACTTATGTACCTAACAACGACTTATGTACCTAACAACGACTTATGTACCTAATATATATAACGGATATTCATAAATTACTCTAGTATGTATAACTGTTTGAAATACGACAAATGCATTTATTTATCATTTATAAGTTCTTTTTGATTGTCAACAAAAGTGTCTGCTATCAGTTTAATAAAAAAATTATGAGGGTCTGGATGCGGTTTACCGAATAGAAAAAATGGGCCAAATCCATAAAGTATAGAAAATAATGAGGTGCTAAAACATAAAGTGTTGAGAATAATGGACAAAAAAAAAGACTAGAGAAAAATATCATAAAAAATGAATGAATAGGCCCCATTCCTCAATTCATTTCATTTATAATTATATATTTTAATGAACAGACCCATTCCATTAATAACTATGTATATATATATGTTTCTAGCAACTACACAAATGTATATAATTGTACGAATCACAATAAAACATAATAATATTGTAATATGTTAGGATTAATCCCTTTTGTATTGTTGTTTGTTTATAAGTTTTGTATTTTTTTACCTTTGTGGGTAGAATATCTAAAATAAACCGATGTGATTTATACTTTGTTTTCTTACCATTTTGTTTGCTGACAACATCGTCTGTTTTGGGGATCTTTTCAGCCATAGAGACTGTCCCTGAAATATTTATATATATAATCACTTGCCAATATGCAGAAACTAAACTAATATGAAATTTATACAATAACTTGAATAGTAACTAGTTAAAAAACTCGTTTTGATATAGACCTGTCAAAATAGATATTATATTTGTTTCTAGTCGTATAAGGATCTTCGATGACAAAATACAGACCAAACAATGTACAAGGCATCCAGTTTTGATAGCTATTGATATATCAAGAGAAGTTGTGGTATGATAATCAGATTGTCAATGAGACAACTATCCACCCGAGTTCAAAGTGACGTGGATTTTATACACGTTTTTGCTAGGATCGTCGAGGACTAAACAGAGGCCTCTTAATGTAAAAGGCATAACGTTTTGATACTTTTATTATAACATAAGGAGATGTGACAATTTTCCATCTGAGTTCATATGTGATAGATTTGTATTCCTGGTCGGGTTAGGATCTTCGAGGACAAAACAAAACCTTTTAATGTACAAGGCATACAGCTTTGATAGCTGTTGGTGATGTGGTTTGATTGCCAATGAAACAACTAACCATCCGAGTCCAAATAACGTGGATTTTTTTACATGTTTTTGTTAGAATCTTCCAGGACAATAAATGTACAAAGCATATAGTTGATTTTCTTACCTTTCTGAGAGCAAACATCAGTTTTGAGTATTTTGTCAGCCACATGACCGTTTCCAGATATTTTCAGTGATTCAATCAATGAATCAAATCCACCGCGCTTCATCAACAATTCTAACAAAAGATGACATTGTGTGTCTACACTTTTCTCTGCTAGTATTTCAGCCTTTTCCTCCATACTTATAGAGTCCGTCTCGATTAATTTGTCCATTACTTTACTCAATTGAGTGATGTTTTCCTTGAAGAAAACGAGATTTCTTTTTATACGTTTTGCAGACGTTGCATCCATTCCAGTTATTGATCAACGCAGCAAATATTGTGTGACTCTCTGTTCCCTTCTCCGGATTTTTGACATTCGTGACTTGAAAGAAGTCCAAAAGATATATTGAATGGACTTTTGAAGACCTCAATAATATCATAATTTTCTTTAATGTATTGTTATGAGCATTTTTGTCTTTATGTATATATATATATATATAATATGTGAAGTTATAATTTGTTTAAAACACGTTTTAAAATTAAGCCTAATTTGTAACAAATTAAATTATCGCATTGTCATTAACAATTGGGAAAACCTCAGAAGGCGTAAGACACGTGATCTATTGTCATTTTCCAAAATGAAGAAAGAAAGTTGATTCATCATTATATAAATAAAAAGTATATAGTTTTGTATAACAACACAACTTGTATCATAACCAAAATAGAATAAATAGTTTATAGTAAAATGTTAATAAAATATTTAAAAAACATGAATAAAAGGTGATGTAGGGTAAAGGTCACTGGGACACGACCCAATTGACATGCGCATGCAAACAAAACCACCCATTCAGCAACAAAGAGTCTCCAACAGACGACAGGTGTCTGTAAAGACATTACGTCCAACACTATATCGTAACGAGATAAAACAAATTGAATAATAAAGGTAAAAAATATAGAATACATTTCAATTGATTTTATTTTACACCAGGATAATTTTTAAAAACTATTAAAATGTTTACTCCAGTTCAAATTGTATCAAAGCTCTATTAGTTTTAAACGAACCACCTATCATAAACGTCCAAATACATATGAAATCTATAAATTTGATAGATTTTGGCAACTTTTGAGTATTCATTGAAAAATTGTACATGAAAGACATCCTTTACCCAAACCAAAATCGTGTTGGAAGTGACATTACATAGTGACTTTTGAAAATTTATTTTGTTTGGAAACATTCTTCAATGCCATTTTGTTTTTGCAAAACATGTACAATTTGCAATTTTGACTTAATTACCAGCGATTGTTTCCATGTAGCCCTGAATTACATTTTAATTCGAGGAAGGAAATTTGTAAAAGTGACAATGGAAATTTGCTCTCTCTCTCTACCTTTTATATTATCACAATAATAAGATCAGTGTACCATTCAACATCTAATATCTGATATATTAGTGATAGAGAACATCTGCCTCCATTTCTTTCTTATTTAGGCACAACCGCCATATCTTCCGAATGACGTATCTGCTTTGCAAGACACGATGTTATCTCTCTTCACGGATAATTGAACTATCATTTCATATTATCATTATTATTTAGATACGACAACTACATAGCAAATGAAATTATTTGGCTGAAAATCATTTTAAAACCTTTACGAAATTAATTTTTGGATATTTTTTTATGTTTGAAATAATGTTTCTATACAGACTGTTTTTATTGTGTCTGATATTTTCAGGTAAGTTTGTATACTAGTATATCATTTATATAAACAGTAGGTTATTGCTTTCAATTTTCACGAAGAAAGGAAATTAATTGTGTTTTACTATCATTATGTATGAAAAAATGGGGGGAAAATATACATTCATAAATCTGGCCAGTTTCTAGTAAACTTTCAACAATTTTTGTATGCCTGTATTTAAAAAGACAACGAAAGAAGCTTGGTAGAATTTATGGAATTTCTTTAAAAATATACGAAATAGAACTGCTCTTGAATCGCACTTTTTTGTAATTTGTGAATGAAGAATTTGATTATTTGGTGTTTCATTATCCTAAAAAAACAAAAACAAAAACAGACACAGACAAAAATCCACTTTAAAAAAAATTTATAGATCCTGGGGTTGCTGCAATTTGTAACGCTTTCAAAGAAGTAAGGAATCTTGTCTGACGTTCAGTGTCTCAGAAAATAGACAAATTTATGGAAAAGGATAAAACAACCACCAAACATGGCAACTACTGAAATTTGTTAATGGTCGGAATATTAATGTGTACCAAGTATTTCAATTTAAGCGGATTTCCATTTTAATGCTGAATTAAGAAAACAAAATATAGTAGTGTTACTATCCACGAAAGATCAAATTCAACGTTGTCTCATTGGCACTCATACCACATCTTTTTATTTATATATATTTCTATAATTTCACGAATGCCACTTAGTCTATTGATTTAGTTGTCCGTGAGGACACATGTTTACTAATGGTCTTTCTTCTTTTGGACACGACGGTTTCTTTAGGAGACCTACACATTGATTGCCACATTACATCTTGATTTTTTGTCTTTCTTTTTTATTCGTAATACCGCTAAAATACAATTGACCCAATTCAACGTGTGTATAGATACATTTCATGCCGATAGGATTTGTGATAGAGGAGCCAATATAACTTAAGACATACTGGTTAAAATAGGGCGATACAACACCAAGGTTCAATTATTCTTATATTAGGATATACTAGAAGAAATGTTTAGGAAGTTTTCATGATTTTTGTTAATGTCTATATTGCAGCTTATCTGTATTATTTTCAGTATGTTTTTCAAACGATACTTCAAAGAAACATAGGCCTGAGCGAGTAAGATCAAAAACAAGTAAAAGATTTAATATGCCAATGGGAATGCCTAGTGGACCTGGAGGAGGTCATGGAGGATCTAGTCCAATGGGAGGAGGACCCTTTCAACATGGTCAAATGTCTAGTCCGGGAATGGGAAGTATGATGGGTGGTGGAGGTGGCAATCCAATGCATGGACCAATGACTGGAGGTGGACGTTCCAATAATCCAGCTATGACAGGACCACATTCACCGGGTCACACATCAATGTTCAGTGGATCGAGTTTTGGTTGTATACGTCATCAAATTGTGTGTCCACGATGGTGCTTAATCATCGATGAAATGGGATGTCACTCCTGTCCGTGTGGTCCTGGTATGGTATTAATATAAATTTTTTAGTGTGCACCAATTAACAAAAAACATTGATTTAACTCATGTTTACACTTCTTTATTATTTTATTCATGTTTAGTTTTATGATATTTTCAGAGGTCGATCAAAGTATCATCTGATAGCGAATTATAATGAAAAATACGTTTTCTCCCGAAAGTTGCGCATAATTGAAACGTTCGAAAATGTTATGGAATCTACCTTTACTTGAATAAAAAAAAATCTGAAAAAGTTTCATTTCCCTGTCATCACACAATGTAGATATTTCTTAAAACTATTAGAAAAAGACTTACACTTTTTCTTCCACGAAATATATATATTCTTAATTCCGATTGCAAAACGGTAACACCTACTTCATATAATTCAATCAGGAAAAAATATATAAATATTTCACTAAAAACTACATAATTTATGTTCCCTCTATGTCGTGATATGATGCAGATATGCTCCTCTTAAACGAAAATACACCCAAGAACTCTTATAAATTAATGACATTAATATGATTTTGCTATTTTAAAAAAAGCTGCAGGAATGGCGTTGCCACAAAACAATCTGATGTCATCTATAATGTCGACAACAACAGGAAACTATCATACAGGAAGTTCAACAACCGGAAACGGAAGTGGAGAAAAGCAATGCCTAGGACAACTGTTATGTATGTCATCATGTAAAAATTCCTACACTTTAGGGCCTGTTGGACACGATGGCTGCCGTTCTTGTACATGTGAATCAGGATCAGGTAAAGAAAGTATTGTGTATCATTTTTGTCAACTCCTATCACTTGAAAGTGTTATACACCACATATTTGACTCTTGAAAACAATACATTAAGAAAGCAATTCATTTTTGTCAAGTATAGAACCTAGTGGAGAGAAAAATATATACTTATATAAGCTTGCCCTGTTGTATAACTTTCAGTATAGAATATAGTTTCATGTAAAGATATGTTACCAATTTCAGACAGTATTTCTAATAACTTTAAAAAAAGGACCATTGTAAATAGTTAGTTATTCATTTATTTACTTAACCTTATTTTTATTTTATAAATCATGTATTGAATAAGCTTTCACCTTGTATTTATACTTGGAATAATATATTTTAAAGACCAATACTGTATTAAGATAACGTTTTTAAAACCATTTCAAAACATTTTTATTTTGTTGTCTATTTGTGGTTAAAACATTTTGTTTGCATGTTATTTCATAACCAACAATTCCCTTTTCTTCACATTTAAGGATACGGATATGGTAGTGGTTCTTCCGGCGGATATACAGGAGGTGGAAGTTCCGGTGGTGGCTCAAGTGTTTCAGGAGGAGGTTATACAGGATTCGGAGGAGGATATACTGGTGGGGTTACAGGTGGTTCTACGTCAACTCACACGAGTCATCAGGTCTCAACAAACCAGGTAAAATATGTAGTACAGCAAAAGAAGGAATGTACTGCACTGAAATTATGCATGCAATCATGTGACACCGGGTACCAGTTGGGTGCAGTTCAAACTGATGGATGCCATAAATGTTTTTGTCCTCCAAAGAAGACGTATGTCTATGGTAAGTTTTAATTCTTTGTTACATATTATACAGCTTTGGTTTTCCTGTTTGAGTGGTTTTACACTAGTCATTTTTGGGGCCCTTTATAGCTTGCTGTTCGGTGTGAGCCAAAGGCTCCGTGTTGAAGGTCGTACTTTGACCTACATGTATAATTGTTTACTTTTTACAGATTGTGACTTGGATGGAGAGTTGTCTCATTGGCTCTCATACCACATCTTCTTATTTCTATTAATTTTATAAAAAAAAAACAAAAAAAAAACAAACAAACCGAAGCGTAACATGATAAAATATTAAACGCGATGATGGATACATTGTATTCGTCTTGCTACCCAGTTTTTAAATGAACTCTATATAAAAAATAAGAAGATGGGGTATGATTGCCAATGAAAAAACTCTCAACCAGAGACCACATGACATAGAAGTTAACAACTGTAGGTCACCGATGAACAAAACCCATACAGCATAGCTAGAAAGCTTTAAAAGGTCTCAAAACAACAAATGTAAAAAAAAAATAAAACGAGAAACTAACGGTTATTTTTGATGAAATTACATTGGTTCAACACTTTACCATCAGTGCAAGTCATGTGTCATTATTGAATTGTTGCAGTCTATCAGTGCGAGTCAGGTGTCATAACCTCTTTTTACAGTCTGCTAGTGCATAACATGTTTAAGAACCTTGCACTGATTTTGTTTCAATATGTCGGGACATGTCATGTGTACAAACATTGATTTCAGTGGCTTATGAGTTTAACGTATAAGCTCGTTTGAGGTGAATTTCACGTGAACAAAAAAAATAGTATCTGTCATGTATTTAATTAAATTTGAAAATTTGAATGTTCATTCTTAAAATAATTGCCTTTTTACACTTTCAGTTCAGCCACAAGTACAAGTTGTCCAACCTCCAAAGAAACAGTATGTTTATACAACTCAAGTACAAACCTATAAACCAGTCGCCAACACATTCACGTGTACCAGTTCATTCAGTTGTCAATACGGATGTAATGTTGGATACAAGTGTGGAACCGATGGTTGTCCAATCTGTGAATGTATTCATCCGCAAGGTAGTAATTAGAAAGCGAACAAATGTTTCCGCAATGAAGTATATACATAAAAAGTTGCATGAACATATATAGTAGACACCGTTGATATTATATTGTTCCATCCTTAGCATGATCATAATTAGAAATTTCCTATTACATTTCATGTTTTATTTTGTGTAAATCAGAGTTGTAAAGAATAAAAATTTGCCGTGTACTTGCAAGAACAGTTTACGGTTTCACTTCACTTTTTCAGTCTAGATTCTGAATTAGACATGCAATTGTAGTATGACTTTTCAATTTTTTTTTTATCTCTTATGTCAAAAACAAATGAGGACAACTGTGAACATTTAAGAATGCAGCTATTAAATTTAATAAATCAAATTTCTCTTTTATTTTGTTAAACCTTTGCGTATTGTTTATGAACATCAAATATTCATAAAAAGGTCAAGGTTAAGATTAAAAGACATAACTTTGTTCTTCTATCACTTACTACTTCTACCGAAACATACATCATTATCAGTTTATCAGTTGTAGGACTCCAAGTAACAGAAGTAATTAGACCTCAAGCAGTACAGTGTACTAGTTCCTTCTCCTGCCCTAGAAGTTGTCAACTGGGATATAAATGTGGTACAGACGGGTGTCCTACCTGTGAATGTCTTATTGCTGTTCAGACCCAGTTGGTTAACACAGGTAACACATTGTACATTTACAGTTAATTGTCGTATTGCTGTGCAGTTGTGTCCAGACTCAGGTTGTTAACACAGGTAGAATGTTTAAATATAACTGCGAACGATTTATTGCTGTCAGGATTCATGTTGCAAACATAGATACATACTAGTATTTTATTAATTAAAAATCGCTACAATTATAGAAATGAGATGCTAAACCGAAATTAAACTTGTTTTCTCTGCCTCTAGAATCCAAAATTATGATGAAAAGTCACGTATCATGGAATTGACATTGCATGAATTATCACTTGTTATAATGGTTATTTGGTAGATAAAGACAATAGGAAGTGTTCTTACTGCAGTATAAAAGACATTCTAAATGTATCGTATAACTGTACAATCCCCTATAAATACAAATTGTGAATCAGGTTACTAATAGTGAATCAGGTTACTAATAGTGAATCAGGTTACTAATAGTGAATCAGGTTACTGCAAAGCCTTATTGCTTTTCATACTCAGTTTTGCAGAATATGTAAGCTTCGTCGTATCATTGGGCAATACAGATATCAAATATCTCGCATGTATACACGTAGTCATCATTAGTTACTAGTATTTATGTCAGAATATGTAAGCTTCGTCGTATCATTGGGCAATACAGATATCAAATATCTCGCATGTATACACGTAGTCATCATTAGTTACTAGTATTTATGTCAGAATATGTAAGCTTCGTCGTATCATTGGGCAATACAGATATCAAATATCTCGCATGTATACACGTAGTCATCATTAGTTCCTAGTATTTATGTCAGAATATGTAAGCTTCGTCGTATCATTGGGCAATACAGATATCAAATATCTCGTATGTATACACGTAGTCATCATTAGTTACTAGTATTTATGTCAGAATATGTAAGCTTCGTCGTATCATTGGGCTATACAGATATCAAATATCTCGTATATATACACGTAGTCATCATTAGTTACTAGTATTTATGTCAGAATATGTAAGCTTCGTCGTATCATTGGGCAATACAGATATCAAATATCTCGCATGTATACACGTAGTCATCATTAGTTACTAGTATTTATGTCAGAATATGTAAGCTTCGTCGTATCATTGGGCAATACAGATATCAAATATCTCGCATGTATACACGTAGTCATCATTAGTTACTAGTATTTATATCAGAATATGTAAGCTTCGTCGTATCATTGGGCAATACAGATATCAAATATCTCGCATGTATACACGTAGTCATCATTAGTTACTAGTATTTATGTCAGAATATGTAAGCTTCGTCGTATCATTGGGCAATACCGATATCAAATATCTCGCATGTATACACGTAGTCATCATTAGTTACTAGTATTTATGTCAGAATATGTAAGCTTCGTCGTATCATTGGGTAATACAGATATCTAATATCTCGCATGTATGCACGTAGTCATCATTAGTTACTAGTATTTATGTCAGAATATGTAAGCTTCGTCGTATGATTGGGCAATACAGATATCAAATATCTCGTATGTATACACGTAGTCATCATTAGTCACTAGTATTTATGTCAGAATATGTAAGCTTCGTCGTATCATTGGGCAATACAGATATCAAATATCTCGTATGTATACACGTAGTCATCATTAGTTACTAGTATTTATGTCAGAATATGTAAGCTTCGTCGTATCATTGGGCAATACAGATATCAAATATCTCGCATGTATACACGTAGTCATCATTAGTTACTAGTATTTATGTCAGAATATGTAAGCTTCGTCGTATCATTGGGCAATACAGATATCAAATATCTCGTATGTATACACGTAGTCATCATTAGTTACTAGTATTTATGTCAGAATATGTAAGCTTCGTCGTATCATTGGGCAATACAGATATCAAATATCTCGCATGTATACACGTAGTCATCATTAGTTACTAGTATTTATGCCAGAATATGTAAGCTTCGTCGTATCATTGGGCAATACAGATATCAAATATCTCGCATGTATACACGTAGTCATCATTAGTTACTAGTATTTATGTCAGAATATGTAAGCTTCGTCGTATCATTGGGCAATACAGATATCAAATATCTTGCATGTATACACGTAGTCATCATTAGTTACTAGTATTTATGTCAGAATATGTAAGCTTCGTCGTATCATTGGGCAATACAGATATCAAATATCTCGCATGTATACACGTAGTCATCATTAGATACTAGTATTTATATCAGAATATGTAAGCTTCGTCGTATCATTGGGCAATACAGATATCAAATATCTCGCATGTATACACGTAGTCATCATTAGTTACTAGTATTTATGTCAGAATATGTAAGCTTCGTCGTATCTTTGGGCAACACAGATATCAAATATCTCGCATGTATACACGTAGTCATCATTAGTTACTAGTATTTATATCAGAATATGTAAGCTTCGTCGTATCATTGGGCAATACAGATATCAAATATCTCGCATGTATACACGTAGTCATCATTAGTTACTAGTATTTATATCAGAATATGTATGCTTCGTCGTATCATTGGGCAATACAGATATCAAATATCTCGCATGTATACACGTAGTCATCATTAGTTACTAGTATTTATATCAGAATATGTATGCTTCGTCGTATCATTGGGCAATTCAGATATCAAATATCTCGCATGTATACACGTAGTCATCATTAGTTACTAGTATTTATGTTAGATACATCTTGTATTTTCTAGATTGCGTTGACTGTGATGATATAGACAGATATAAGCAGCACTATGTCAAACCACAGAAACAATACGTTGTTGTTCAACCTCATACAGAATGCACTGATTGTGGTACCCAAATTGTGTATCAGAAACCTCAACAACAAGTCGTTTACGTTCAGAAACCACAACTACAAACAGAATGTACTGATTGTGGTACCCAAGTTGTATATCAGAAACCAAAGCCACAAGTCGTGTACATACAGAAACCACAACCACAAACAGAATGTACTGATTGTGGTACCCAAGTTGTATATCAGAAACCAAAGCCACAAGTCGTGTACATACAGAAACCACAACCACAAAAAGTGGTGTATGTTACACAGACTCAGACAGAAACATGCCACGGATGTGAGACAAAACCACAAATTGTGTACACCAGACCAAAGCCACAACAACAAATCGTTTACATTACTAAACCAAAGCCACAGCCACAGAAAGTCTACGTTTCACAGACACAAACTTGTAATAATTGTGGAGAAAAGCAACCACAAAAGAGTTGTAAGTTTTATTTCAATGTACTCCTGAGAGTAAAAAGAGGAGAACAATAGCAACGTGGCAATCGACGTTATTTATGACAAATATTTGTTTGATAGGAATTGGACCAGTTAACACATCAATTAACGTTAACAAAACTTCCAACAACTGTCGACTGTAAATACTATATACATATACTGTATATGAAAAGTGAATCCAAGTCGTGTTGTTTTATATTGGTTACGAATGTAATCCAGTGAAAACAATAAATCAAGAAGTAACATTTATCAGAATCGAAAGCGCTATTTACCAATGTGAATTATTGAAAAATTATCATTATATATAAGCGAGCCAATACATTTTTATGAATCAGTCCATTCGGTATAACATTAAGGTGTACTTTAGTATTTAAAATTGAGAATGGAAATGGGGAATGTGTCAAAGAGACAACAACCCGACCACAGAACAGACAACAGCAGAAGGCCACCAACAGGTGTATATTCATGTGCTTAAAATTCAGTAATTTTATATTGTTAACGTTGATAGATTTTTTCCCTTGTCTTTTATTGTCAAATACTATATTTTTTTCAGTAATCGTCGGTCATCTCGTATCAAGTGGCGGAACAACTGGAGGAGGAGCTTATATCAGTGGTGGCGGCGGTTCATATTCTGGTGGCGGTGGATCATATTCTGGTGGTGGCGGATCATATTCTGGAGGAGGCGGATCCCACACGGGAAGTGGTGGATCATTCTCCGGCGGAGGTGCAGCGATGATGGGTGGTGGATCCACGGGAGGAATGACTATAGGTACTCTATCACTGTGACAATACGATAGTTCTAGGAATTTGTAGGGACGGTAATATATGTGTATAACATGTTCACTTTGAGAAACTAAGGTTTCAACTCCCTCAGGCAAAGTTGACCTTAGATGGATTTGGCTATTTGTTTTAGGTATTTTTGTCATATTGCTCTTCAATTGTTTCGGTACTTATACATCCCTCGGATTACAAATGTTTGGCTTTGGGCGTTCCTGATGAAGGTAAATCCAGAAAAGCGCTTCGGACGCATGAAATTATTAAACGTGTTGTTTTCAATTCTTTAAGACACAAGATCTAACAAAAATACAACAAAACATAAGACATATGGTATATAACACGTGCGAAATTAAAAAAAAGATTTGACATGGGGCGGTTTATCAAAACAATAATCTACCAGGTTAAACCAGTCATTTTCGTTTTAAAACATGCCAGTACCAAGTCAGGAATATGACAGTCGTTTTACATTCGTTTCGTTGGTTTATATAGCATAACGTTTGATTTTCTCATTTTTTATGGACTTCCCTCCTTTTGAGTTGACCTTTGAGTTTGGTATTTTTGTTTATTAATTTCTACGAGAAACTTGAAAATGTAAGAGTAACATTAAGTACATTTTCAACATGGCATTACCAGTGTATAAACCTTATTAATTACACAACTGGTGAATTCATTATCCAATCACTGTTTCTCGGCAAACATGTACTATAGCTGACTATGCGGTATGGGTATACTCATTGTTGAAGGCCGTACGGTGACCTATATTCGTTAATTTCTGTGTCATTTGGTCTTTTGAGGAGAATTGTCTCATTGGCGATCATACTTCATCTTCTTATTTTTATAAGCTATCACAACGAAAATAGTTACACAAATAGCTAATAAGAAAATAACGCAATCAAATTAGATACACTGCATAACTAATTCTTTCATCAGCATATCTGGAGACACGCACTCAGTCTCACTGCTTTATGAGTTCATACGATTCTCTCAGTTTTGGTTTGCCTTCCTAATCAGTTTATAGGATTTGAACATCGATTAACTTCTATTACTTTAATCAAGAACAGTTACCCGGATGCCTTTAGATCAGTTCCTTACAGAAGCTGTTCTACCCTGAAACAATTTAGGACAATTCTAGCCTTAAACAGAATCTGACCGTCTAAGAGTTCTATCATGAAACGGATTTGGACAGTTTTATCATAGAGCATATTTAGTCAGTTTTATTTCTCAAACAGTTCAAATTCAACTATAAAAGCAAACTTAACTATGAATAAACTCATCATAGATAATAGAATTAAAATTTTGCACGACGGACGCGCGTTTCGCCTACATAAGACTCATCAGTGACGCTCGAATCAAAAAAGTTAATCAGGCCATATGAAGTACGAACTTGAAGAGCATTGAGGACCCAACATTCTGAAAGGTTTTGACAAATACATGGTAAAAAGTATAAAAAAATACCAAACTCCAATGTGAATTCAAAAAGGGGATGTCCTTAAAAACAGACAAAATCAAATGTTATCAACCAACGGAACAAATGGAAACAGCTGTCATATTCTTGACTTGGTACATACATTTTTGGAAGTAATCCATTCCTGGGGCAGAAAATCCTTGATATTGGAACACGCTGTAAAATACACTCCTACTTACATGTTAATTATTATTCGTAATAAAAAGAGTTAAATGTTAAATTTTCAGCCAACTGTCCACCAATGCCACACGACTGTGAACCATCGTGTATAAAATATGACGAACCACACTGTCGGAGATGCGAATGCGAACAACGTAAGTTATTGTTAATATGGGAAGCACTTGAATGACAAAAAATCCTGTTAATGGTTTTGATCGCTAAGCATTGGTATTCAGAAGAAGTCAAATGTGTATAATTACGCAAAAAAATATATGATTACACAGTATTACATATATATATTTGCGCATTTGAAACAAGTTCCGAACGATTTTATATTTATTTCTATAGACCACACGTTGATTACAATTTCGCGTCTGATTTCTAACTAAATATATTTGAAGTATTTATCTTAGATGTTTTTATTGAAACATGAATATAACATTATGCCTTAGTAGTTGTGATATTTTTGAACTTTCGGTAGTCAAATTTTCAAGTCTTGTATTTTAGATTTTGAAATTTAACTATCTGGAATAAATATAAATATCGTTATCAAAAATATGTTGTTATATCTATTTGTATTTTATTTTCGGTAAACAAAATATTACATCATCGATGACAAAATGTCAAGTCAAATACACAGTCACCATTGTGTGCATACATTTCTTAAAGCATTGACGTCAAAAATGAGAAAGGTTAACAAAAAATTGCATGATCCTAACTTCTGCGAAATAAAATTATCAATCATAAGACAGAATACATTTTTACTTATTAACATTACTAAAGGAACTTGCAAATTCATGTATGTATCCACACCTAGAATTTAAATAGAAGACACGTTTATATATTTTATCAAATTTACTTTCATATTGTACAATGTGTTCTTGTTATTTAGTTTAACAAAGTGTTTAAAGCTGAGTTCAAATCTATCACATTTTCATAACAAAACAAACACAACGTTTCTTATTCTAAAGTTAATCTTATAGCACGTTTTGATTTCAAATTTGTAAAACATATTGACGTTTTGATAATCGATCTTAGAAGTTATTTCATAACAATAATGATGTACAACTTATGATTAATATCAATTAATTTTATTTTGCAGCATTCCCACAGTTTTTTGGCTTAATGAAAGGAAAATAAAGACACAAGGAATATGGAATATACCCTGACACATAACCAGTACCATATCACAGATTTGTTAATAATAAAAACTATGATATTAAGTGTTACATTGTCTATATCATATTTTATCATAAAAACGTCGGAAAACGACAGCAATGTATTTTGAATCTATGCGATTAAAACATGTTTGACTGGCTTTATTCCTTTCAAGTATTTAAATTTCAATTTCCGACATTATGCAATGCATACTACAATCATCTTACTAGCTTTTCTGGATTTGCCTTAATTCACCAGCAACGCCGAAAGCCGAATATTTGAAAACCAGGGATGTATAAGGACTATAAGAACCGACAAATATGAAAACAGCACGTTATAAATGTCACGCGTCCGAAGCGCTTTTCTGGATTTACCTTTATCAGGAAGGCTCAAAGCCGAATATTTGAAAGCCAAGTATGTATCAGAACCGAAACAGTTGAAGAGCTATATGAACAAAAAGAACCTGAAAAAATAGCCAAATCCATCTAAGGTCAACTTTGCCTGAGGGAGTTGAAACCCTAGTTTCTTTATAATTTGAAAATTTATAAACAGACAATTTTAGAAAGTTTTGTTATAAATCATTTCAGTACTGAAGTACTAACTACTGAGCTGATGATGCCCTTCGTTGACTGATAGTCCACCAGCAGAGATATCGACCAAGTGCTGTAACAAATGAAAACAACACGTTATAAATTCATGCGTTCGAAGCGCTTTTCTGGATTTACCTTCATCAGGAACGCTCAAAGCCGAATATTTGAAAGCCAAGGATGTATGTATAAGAACATCAACCGAAAATGACATTGCAACGTTCTAGTTTACAACGTTATAGTCCGAATAAAGACAGAACACATTTTATGTGCTCTGAATAAAACAGTATTTGCTTCTTCTTGTCGTGGGCCTATTAGAAAAACATCAAAGCTCATGTGTGGGGAATGGAACATCAGCATTAGATAGTAGCATGCTACAACGTTAATATCGAGGTGATTGTAATGGATTGAAGAGGAGGTATGATAAAAGCCATTATTCGGCTCCTCAAATTGAAAAAAAAATTAGTACGGGCTTTGCAATCCTTTCAAAATTATGTTAGATCTATTGATACATAAGTTATATAATATAATCTGGCAAGATTTTTCAGTGCATAAATACCTGTTGTGATGTCAATGCTATGTCACAAACATGTTGAAATTGACATATTTGACCTGCATTGACCATTTTACTCAATTTCTTCTCACTTTTGTTTTGACAAGGTTTAAATTTTTTTTTTTTAAAATCGATGAAGTCCTAGAACAGTTTCTTCATTTTTTTATATTATTTTTATTCAAAACTATTTCTGATCGAAAATTGAACTCTGGGAATCAATCTGAAAATCAATAATATACCTAAATTTTATTGAAGTCCTAACACATAAAGATGGAATTCATAATTTGTAAATTTGAAAAAAAAATGTGTTACTACTATTCCTCACAATATTCGCATGCAACAAATTTGAAATTCCCAAAATCAATTATCATTTTCCATTGAAATTCTAGCTAAAAAAATACTCTTAGAATTTGTGCATTTTTTAATAAAAAAGAATAATGATTTACAAAAATGTTTTCCCCTTTTTTAGAATCGACAATTATCTATCTCTTATCATATATAAATAATGTTCATTAACATTGCTGATATCATATGAGGCATCCTTGACTTATAATACCGACATAAAAATGTTGCCGGACAGACAGACATGCAGTAATTGCAGTAGGGCACAATGGACTAGTCGGCGTGGTTTAAAAAAAAAACCCAGACCAAATGGGATTAGACCATATTATTTCCCAACAAGTAAGGAACCGGAAAAAGGCATGGAAGTCCAGTCTTTTGCTTTACCAATTACATAATGAATTTTTATATGATTACAAAATGAATTGAACACTTTCAATAAATTCTGCAATGACAAATAAGCGACATCGGATCTTTTACGATCTCAGGAAAGTGGTGCCCGATCTTTCACGATCAGAAATATTAAATTTATTCAAATATTCCAATTTGACCAACTTTCTGATTTAGCTACTTCAAAATAATTTTAAGATCCATTTGAATAAAATTGAGAATGGAAATGGGGAATGTGTCAAAGAGACAACAACCCGACCAAACAGCAGAAAACAGCCGACGGCCACCATGGGTCTTCAACACAGCGAGAAAATCCCGCACCCGGAGGCGGGCTTCAGCTGGCCCCTAAACAAAATGTGTACTAGTTAAACATTAATATAGAACTATATTGCTCAATAAAGAGTAGTTTAGTCTTTCAAATAAGAAGCAAAATCATGTTTGTTTACATTTTTTATGTCATTGACATGTTGGAGAGCAATCTTCTTTTTTGTAGTTTTGTAAAAACGGTGATATGGTAAACTCAGACTTTCTAAGATACTGATCTTTTAAACCATTTTGACAGACAGTTTTGTTTCTTCAAAATTTGTCTTTATATATGATTCAATAAATTAGATTATCTATTGACTTTGCACGTGTCTTCTCGATTCCACACCAGATCTTTCACGATCCTACCGCAGTACTTGCAATTGATCACCACCGTTACTTATTCTTTCACGACAACGTTTCTCAGTATACCGTGGTGTCTTAATAATCTCATAATGGAGGGTCTATATGGGTGGTGCTCTTTTTTTTGTTCTTTACCATGTTTACTGTTTAGACAATATTTGTCTATTCTTTATGATTCAGAAACCCATTATACTCTATTTCTATAGTTTTGCCTATTATTCTCTTTTTTTAAGTACTTTATTCCGTCTTTTCTACCCATTATTCTTTTTTCTGTAAACCCCACCTAGACCCGTATATTACAATGAAAAGTGACACAATCTATGATGTTTTTTTCTTTATTAAACTTGCGTCAGCTGCCGTTCTGTTGATATATTTGTTTTTTGTATTTGTGAACGGAGTGACCAATGTAATAACAACATTGAATTAGAAAACAAAATAACAAAGGATAATAAACAGCTAATTTGTCTTAACCTTCAAACTACTTGTGGTAATATCATCGCACTGTTGTTCATTACAACACACAAGTGAAATTGATTCATTGACATAAATCTGCTGTTGTGCATTTTTATTGCATAGAAAACTTAGGGCTAAATCGAATAGAAAACTTTTCTCATAGTGGTAATTGGAGAGACGCACTGTGTTGGCTTTATCATTTTTGTTATTTGAATTGCAAAACTTTAGAAATTTGATATAGTTTTTGTATCATTATTGATTGCTATATTTACTATTATGTACTATTTATGAATGAAATTTATTGGGAGCGAACGTGACAAATGTTTCCAGCAGTTTAGAAATGAAATTGTGGATGCATTTTTTTTTTGAAATACTAGCTATGAATGAAAGAAAATGTAGGGTATTTGTCGGTAATGTAAACAGCATAACTTCACCCTTCGATCTTTTTTATTTCACTTGCAATGTTTGTTTTAGTTTCGAGTGTTTTCGTTACGTCTTTGCTATAAAACGAATTAACTAAAAACCGTATTGACAACTGGCATTTCAATTGAAACCACTTGGCTCTTATTCTATTTCTTTTTTGTTCTTTAATTCATTTGAGAAAGTTTTCCTACAAAAGCTTCCGGAAGAGCGAAAACAAGTTAGCCCTATCCTTAAAAATCAAGTTCCGATATACTGATAATGTCCTCTTACTGAATAAATCAAATTTATGTGGATATGTTGATCACATTTATGTGGCTATGCTGATCATATTTATACTGTTTAATTTGAAGGACACCACAGATACAGATATGTCTACTCAAAACGTGATGGGGTTTAATCTGAAGTGGTCTGTATAGTGTTTTGCAAAATGTTGATGGTCTATCGGTAGTTTTTTCCTTGACAATGCTGTTGTCTAAGTATCTGTCTGCGACAAATGTTTTTGATTGTCCTTTTGTATCTCTTAAATCCTTTCCTAGTCTTACTCAGCCGTTAAAATCTTGAAGTTCCTTCTTTAAGGTATCACTCTCAATCACACACTGACACTTACAGTTTCACCTGAAAATCTTGATATGTTGCCTGCATCTATCGAATATGTATGTGTGTGTGTGTGTGTGTGTGAGAGAGAGAGAGAGAGAGAGAGAGAGAGAGAGAGAGAGAGAGAGAGAGAGAGAGAGATAGAGAGAGAGGGTGGCCACATATCTATATTCTACTTTTTTCTGTCAAGAAAGAAGCCAGAGTAGTAAGTAACATAAACAAATAAGAAGATGGGGTATGATTGCCAATGAGTCAATTCTCCACTAGAGACCAAATGACATAAAAGTTAACAACTACAGGTCACCGTACGGCCTTCAATAATGAGCAAAACCATATATGTTTACATGTATAATTGATCATTGCTTATTTTATATGCATGTGCAGTAGGACATGTTTCATAGATATTGATGACGAGCACAAGTAACACAATAAATCATCTGAGGTAGGTTTAAATAGTAGTCAAGCAGAAATGATCGACGGTACATGTATGTTAATGTTCCATCAATGAAATATCAATGTCAAAAGAGAAACCTTAAAAACATACTCCTCCATGGCAATCCACTTTATAAACGTGTTGTTGTTCTTGGGAGAAATGTATTTCTATTGGAAAATGATATCGTTTTGTAAATATTTTGGCATACGAAAAGTCTGGAGCAATAAATACTGCAATTAAAACTTAGATTTTGCCAAATTTATTGTTGAAGTCATGCCAATACATAAACACTCTCTACTGTGTCAGAGAAAGACTGTAAACTGCATACACTTTACATTCTTGGCTTTCAAATTGTCAGATTTGAGAGTTCCTGATGAAGGTCATTCCAGAAAATCGCTTCGTACGCATGAAATTTATAAATTTTTGTTTTCATTTTTGATTATTATTTACATTTTGAAAAACGTACATAATGTTTAACTTTATCATTCGTAGCGCAGCTTATCTTTATTTTTATTTTAAACAAGTACATAATATTTAACTTTATCAATCTAAGCACAGCTTATTAATATTTACATTTTGAACAAGTACGTCATGTATACAAGGAAATGCCTATACCAAGTCATGAATATGACAGTTGTTTTCCATTCGTTTGATGTGTTTGAGACTTAGATTTTGCCATTTGATAAAGGACTTTCGGAAATTTCGTTTAAAAATTTTCCTTG